AGCTCATTTCTGACATGTTTTTCTCCTCTGGACTGTAGATTGAGGTAAATAAATTGTGTACCCTGAAATAATTTCCACGTTCCTGAAGCCTTTAATTTGGAAGAGAGAAGACTGTTTGAATCAGATGATTCTACATTTCATTTTCTCAGATGATTGTATTATGTTTCTATCTAAGTAGCCTTTAGCAAATACCTGTCCAAACAGAAACAAGGGAAAAATCTAAATTATATTTGGCTAAAAGCTTATTCCAAGAAATGGGTATCTTGTCACGTTCTGTCCCCTTCTCCCTACCCCTCTTTTCTCCCTCCTGTGTTAGCCCCAGCAAAAATCTGAAAGGTCTATAATGGCTGGATTAACATTTTATTCTAAGCTTTGTTCAGTTTTGTTTTAATGAAATGAGTGAACATGGCTGCAAATGAAACAAATAAAATGTTCAAATGTATCAAAATGTTTATGTATCAAACACATCCAAATTACATTAAAGTAATCAAAATACCTTTACAATCCCCAAGGCATGTCACAACTTTTGAGCACCCCTAATGTTTGGAAATTGAAAGTTGGAAAATTTGACACTCCCTACTTGTGGCCTGTAAACTATGCTTTATGGTTTCCATGCATTAATCAGGCCATTGTGGCTTGATCAGTAAGCCCATGGTTAAAGTAAGTTATGTCTTAGTATGCAGTGGGTTAACTTGTGTTTTTTCTAAGGCAGATATTCTCAAGTTTTGTGGTACCATGACTCCCTAACATAATAAATGATTCTTTGTTGATAGTGCCTTCCCAACTGCAGATTGCACTTTGGCAGATCTCTAAAAAGGTTAAATCATGGCAATTGGACCAAAGTTTATTAAAAATGGGGCGCTTCATTACTCATCCAAGTAACTTCTTCAGTCAAAACGAAAATTTTGGGTGGGTGTTGAAATGAACCAACTCTTGCCAGTGATACGGAGCTGACTCTGTAAACCACTTAGAGAGTCAGGCTGTGAAGCGGTATATAAGTCTAAATGCTATTGCTATTCACTAACAACTGGGCTAATTTATCAACTGCAGTGATTCACTTAACAAAATCCTACCTTAGTTGCTACCGCTTCGGTGGTGATCGTGCGTGCGTGTGTGCGCCCTTAACGCTCACGCACCTAATAAGCCAATCAGCTAAGAGGATGAAGAAAGGAAAAGCTAGGAGTGACCCTCCCCCTCCCATGCGCTTTTCGGTCTTTTATCCTCTCAGCTGATAGTTGGAGGCTTTTTTTTTTTACTACCAGTTCTGCCAAACCGATAGAGATTTTTACTACCGGTTCACCCGAACTGGGCCAAACCGGTAGCATACCACCACTGTTAACAACTATGGCAAGAAAGACCATAAAATGGGGCAACACTCACTTAACAAATGTCTCACTTAACCACAGAAATTTTGGGCTCCATTGTGGTCATAAGGAGTACCTCTATTGCTCAGTTACCATTGTTACTCTATCAATATTTTCACAACCTCAAGTCGCAGCTTGCTTTGCTCCGTATCTAGCAGTGGTTACTCCCTCCCACTGGATGCAAGAACATCTCATCTCCCCTTTGCTCTTTCAACAATCCAGAATGGATTTAAAATTTCAGACTGTTGGAGAATTCTCTCAGCTGTTTCTACAATGACTGAAGGCTCTTTTTACGCTGCTAAAAAAATAAAGCACTAACCAGGATGTCCCAAATTCTGGGTGAGGAAAAATAGTTTTTGCAGAATTCAGTTTCTCTTTTTCAGAAAGTTAAAATGACCCTGCAATGCTGATTGATAGTCAAAACAAACAGTTTCTTGTAAGAGAAAATATCAGTTTGAGGACACAGTGACCTCCCAGGTTGCCGCTGTTTATATCATTTTCTGGCTATTCTATGAAATTTATCATTGGGCAATGACAGATTGTTAGTAACCTTGTTTAATAAGACGGGAAAGATTGTGCTTACAACTTCGGTGCACCAGATGACGGATGCCCTTTAATTCTGGGGTGTTTCTGTTAGTGCAGCCAGTTTAAGAGTTGAAATATCAGTGCTGACTTTCTGCCATGTAGACTTTGTTTATTTTGCTTCCTGTGAAGTGAAGCTGTGAAAACAGTTTTATTTCTAATGCGTGAACTCATCTTATGAAAGGTGGATAACAGTGTTTTAAGTTTTTCATAGCTTTCCAGGCTTCGCTTATCTCGTGAACTCATGAACAAAGCTTGCTGACAGACGGCAGATTCAGCCTGTAGGAAGAAAAATCCAGTTCCAGTTCCAAGTTGGGAATAAAATGGAGGCTGATTGGAAAGAAAGTTGGTTTATTGATGAGCAGAACCACCAACAGCATGGGATCCTGGGACAGCTTAAAAAAAAAGGAGTTGCGAGTAGGGTGGGATTTTATACCTTTTTAATTTCTATGGGGTCATGTAGGGGTCATGGCTGGCTCTATAGGCAAAAGAGGAAACGCAAATCCTCAGTGTTTGTCTGAGCTAATCTTGTCTTGCCTAATTGCTTATCTGGAGTTTCTGTCTGACCCAGTCTTTCTGAATGGATTACCAAATCTGTATTTATTATTCTGCCTATTTTATTATTCCCCAAAATATTTCATTCTCTGGGGTGGGGTGTTTCCTTCACTTCACCCCTTGCCCTTTCATCTCGACCAGGATGGCGCTCGTGCTCCCTTAAGCATTGCTCTCAGGGTCATTGAAGCTCCTGATCCCTTTAAGGTTATAACTGTTAAGATAATCACTTTCTAAAGTAGTGTGTGGTAATGCCAATTTGCATGAGCAGAACATCTTAGATAATAGACCTAATCAGTGATTAACCTTTGGATTAGAAAAATGCACTGTATAGGACCAATGGGATGTAATGGTTAGGAAACTGGATTTAGGACCAGGGAGATTCTGTGCTTTGTGTAAATTCAAGGAGAAGGAAGCAATTATAAGTGGATCAGGTGGCACCCAACCTTAAAAATAGAGCTAGTTGAGCATATTCATTTCTTAATTTGTTATGCTTAATGAAGGAAACCTTCACTAAATCAAATATACGTTGCTGGCTCTGAGGAAAATACACTGGTGTTATTAACAGTAAAACTCTTAACCATTATGGTTATTTCACTATTCTAAACATGAAAATTTAAGCCTGGAGTGTGTGAGTGTATGTATGAATGAATGAATGAATTTTGATGGAAGAGTTAGAACCTTCATGGAGGATTAGCTGAGCCATTTGTTACACCTGGTGTACTGTCCAACATTGCTTGCAGCTGAAATGTAGAGTAATACTTTACCCTAATTCTACTTGAGTATCCAATTTAAGATTGGCTGCAGGGGTGAGTCTCTCTTCATTACGTCATTGGCTTTTAAGAACATCATAGGAATAAATAGAAAAATATCTTTAGATTACTGAAATAACATGTTAGTTTCCCTTTATCTATCAAAAAATGGGTTTGTACTTTTAAAAACTTTTCTGAAGCTTGGTATAGGTATCCAGATGTGTTTTTCAGCCTTGGCAACTTTTAAGGTATTGGACTTCAGTTCCCAGAATTCCTCAGCCAGACAGTCTAGGGAATTCTGGGACTTGAAGTCCACGCATCTTAGAGTTGCCAAAGTTGAGAAACCCTGATCCAAAGACTTTTCTTACTGATTTAAATATGTATTTTTGAATTATTTCAAGCCGTAAGGCTTGAAGGCTGCTGAACTATAAAGGAAATGATAAGAAAATGATGGGGATAGGGAATTGCAGAGTGTAGACTCCCAGGTTCCCATTCATGCTTTCGAACGTTCCTAAATTCATGTTAAATTACACCAGAGATTGTTCTGGGATGTTTTACAATAAGTACTTCCTGCTTATATGCTTATTTGACAGGTGTCAAACTCAATTCTTTGCTTCTGCTTTGCATCTTTTGGTCCCTGCCAAACGGTTGGGAAATGACTTTTTTCAAGCCCAATGTGAAAGCAAACCGACGCAGGGTTGCAATGAAGTTATTGATGTAGGAGAATCTTGCCAAATTGCCTTGGCGAGATGCTGCGAGTCTCCATTTTTTTTTTTGCCTGACAGATTTAAGTAACAGACAGTAATAAATGGAGGTCAAATTCTAATGAGCTTCACAATGATTTGCCTCATGAAAATACTCCCCACCATGCACGTGTGTTTCTGAGCAAGCAAACTTTTCCCTCTCAACAGTGATCACTTTGCCTGAAAGTGTTTCTATCTTTTACTGATTTTTACAATAGAGGGGATTTAATGAAATTGTGGTCTTTGTTGTGGGAAGTCCTGAGCATTGCAGCTGAAGAAATATAGAGATGGCTAGGCTTGGATTTTGTCCTAAAGTGATATGGGAACTTAGATGTCGTAAGAGCCGATTTGGTCTCGTGCTTAAGGCACTAGGCTTAGAAAGCAGGAGATTGTGAGTTCAAGTCCTGCCTTAGACATGAAAGCCAGCTGGGTGACTTTGGGTCTCTTTCAGGGTTGTTGTATGGAAAATAGGAAGAGGAGGGTAAAGAAGAGGATAAGTTTGCAGCCTTGAGTTTTATTTGTAAAAATAATAAAGGTAGGATACAAATTAAATGAATAACAAGGTTCATATAAGATGAGACAAGCCTTGGGCATCAGGGAGGCCATCTGAGCTGCTTGCCAATTTTCCAATTGATCCCAGTGGTGGGATTCAAATTTTTTTACTACCGGTTCTGTGGGCATGGCTTGGTGGGTGTGGCAGGGGAAGGATACTGCAAAACTCCCATTCCCTCCCCCACCCCACTAACCTGCTTTCCAGGTCCGTTCTCCTGTGCAGGGCAACCAAAGAAGACTCAGCTGATCAGCTGGGACTCAATGGGAGGCAGCGAATAGATGGGGACGGGGCCAGTCAGAGGTGGTATTTGCTGATTCTCCGAACTACTTAAAATTTCCGCTACCAGTTCTCCAGAACCTGCCAAATACCACCTCTGTTGATACCTTTATATTAAACTCAATGAATGCAATCTGATATCTCTGATTCTTAATCCTTCCTTTGACTTCCTTGCTAGGGTTTTTCAAAGATGACCGCATCGTATTCTGGACATGGATGTTTTCCACCTACTTTATGGAGAAATGGGCCCCGAGGCAAGATGATATGCTCTTTTATGTTCGCAGGAGGCTGGCCTACGTTGGCGGAGATGGCGTAGAAGAAAAGAAGGTAGGTTGATTAACAAGCTGGAACTCCCAAGAAAGGCCGTTTTTGTTCTCCTTTCATAAATGGCTAACGGGTTTCCTCTTCAGCTGAGAGAAAATTAGAAAGTAGATCAAAGACACAGATACTGATTTCAACTGAAGAGAGATTTCTTTTTTTACTCAGTTAAAATAAATATATTTCTTTGGTGCAAATCTGAAGCAAGGTGTGTTGGCTGGGAACACTGTTAAAACATTATCTTATGACATTGATACAATCCAAGAAATTGATTGATTGATTGATTGATCGATCAATCCACTCATTCCTTCATTCATTCACTCATCTCAAGCAAGCGATTCTTGGTGGCAAATAAACATAAAAGCAATTAAAAAGCAGAGCCCAAAAGGGAAAATTAAATACACATACCGGTTGCAGTTAAGAAATATTATAGTGGGCAGATGTTAGCATAGCCAGGAAATGGGGGCCTTCAAACACGCGGGACCCCAGACCCAGACCTGTAACCTTCAAGGCCTTCCAAAAGACCAACAGGGTGTCTCTCTTATTCCCTGGAGGGAGAATGTTCTAGAACAACGGCCCCCCAATCTTTTGGGCACCAGGAACCGGAGAAAGGTTTTTCCATGGACTGGAGGGAGCGTGGTTTTGCATGCTGCCTGCATGCTGCGGATGGGGCTTCGCTTGTTTGTGTGGCCCAGTTTCTGGTATGCCGCGGCCCAGTGCTAGTCCATGGACCAGGGGTTAGGGACCCCTCTGATAGAGGGCAAGCAGAGAGAAACAGAGACAGAGAGAAGAAAATGATTAAAATCGGGTGGGATTCAAAAATCCCAGCAACTGGTTCTCTGCGGGTTGCTGGGTGGGCGTGGCCATGGTGGGTGTGGCCTACCAGAACTTCTAGGAGGGCCGTTTTTCTCCTTCTCCAGAGTCCGGAGGCTTCCCTTGAGCCTTTGGGAGGGTGAAAATGGCTGCCCCCGGG